CTTTAAAATTTGATATATTAGTTTAAAACAGATATGATTATATATTTTTTATAGTGCTGAATATTTTTATTTAAAAATTAAAATAGGTTATCTTAATAAAATTTTAAGTAATATAGATTTATTTTTTTGTCTAAAATTGTTCACAATTGTCTATAAATTGTCCAAAGCTGTCCTGTGACAACACTGTACTATATGTGTATGATATGTGTACGATATCTTGTATTAACTCTACACAAATCAGGTACCAGATTATACATATCTTACACATATCATATATATATCCTACACATATCAGGTACCAGATTTGTGTAGAATATGTGTATGATTTATTTTATTTTGACCTGTGTGTATTTTGTATAAAGAAATACATAGAGATGTGTCTCTTGTATGAAATGCTGATATCATAATAAATTATTTATATTATCTTGTATGAGAATTAATTGAATGATATCAGCATTTCGCGTGAGAGGTATATTTCTAGAAATACAATTTAATTTATATTAATAAAATATTTAAAGATAGAAATATAATATAAAAAAAATAACTTATCTTAAGTAAGATACATAGAATATATATTAAGTTAATTTTATACAAAATATATCTTTACGTTCTGATTTAAGAATATTATTATGAAAAAATTATATAACCATTACTTTACTAATATTACAAATATAAATACTACGTATAATATTAACTTTGAGAAAATAATTAATTCTACAGTTGAAAATTATGATTTTTAGTTGAAATTATAAACCTTACTGCCACTAAAGTCTTTTCATACTCTAAAAATTCTAGCCCTAAATCTTAAAATAGGCTATTAACAATTTTAAACAATTAACAACTAATTCACTACACCAATAAGCAATTTTAAATTTATTAAAAACATATTTAATTAATTGAAAAAGCCTTATTATACATAATATGCTTGACAGTAAGTATTTAAACTATAAACACTACATATATCATAATTATATTCTAACAGAAGAATTAATATAAAATTTCTATTTCAACCTACTATTATATATTCTTGCATTTATTTTATTTAACAGAATAATTTAGTACATATATTGATATTAAACCTTAAACAATACTATATAGCTTTAATTATCCTTTATATTTTTTCACAGGCTTTTCGATTAGGAGAGCACCAGAAATCAGCTGATTTTTTAGAGGGAAGAGAGTAAAAAAAATTATCAGATATATAGTTTTAGCTAATTAAAATTTTTTATTTAAAATCAGGTAGGAGGGAGAGAGGTAGCCTCTTAATAAAAAAATATTAGCTGATAAATAACCCTCCCCTTACTGATCTACCTATATAATTTTATACTATTTTCAACTAGATCATTATCGAGTCGCATCTTTTTCGTCACTGCAGTATTCATAAATTCTCTGGGATTCCAATCATACTTTTTTTCAAGAAAAAGTTCTTCGAGCGATCTTTTGGTAGTAAAAGTGATATCGTTCTCTTGTCTATCATTGTGCATCTATTTATTAAAATAATATTAGTAAGTAAGATTATTAAACAAATAACTAATTAAAATGCTAATAAATTTATAGCTTGCAAGTGAGTTTGATGTTTATTACAAATTCTTGTGGTATTATGCCTGCGAATAGAGTGGGGATCTGCATTCTCAATATCACTAATTGGAGTTTCTGAAATTTCTGTAATTGTTGAATCAGAACAATTTTCATTATAAATTTCTTGATTATTTTCTATTTGCATGTTATAACAAGAAAATTGACTAGGTTTGTGAAATTTTGCTCCATAATTTTTAGGTGATTCACTTGTTGAAGGGATTTGTATACTATCCATTAGATGAAAAGGATCCTTTGCTATTGTTTTGCACTTTATTGGAAAAAAGATATCATTACCAATACTATGATAAAGTCGTAAAATTTTTTGATAAACCTTATCGCTAGTTCTATTATGAATAATATAGGTTTTTTTTCTGGTGTAACTGCATTTTTCTTATTTTTAAAATGCTATACTAGCTTTTCTTTAATTTCTTGCATCTGTAATTTTCCATGTAAAGCTTCTGTATACTATCATGCAGCATATACATGCTTGCATACATCTCTAAAAAGACTATTCCAAATATAGTCATAGTATATACATTCACCTGATAATGTATTGATAAGATAGCATGTTTCTGATATGTAAAGATTGTTTCTGTTAACCAATTTCATAATTATATCATTTATTTTTTCTGATATATTCGTTGGTATATTAATAGGATAAAAATTATAGGGTGAGTAGAATATATTGTTTTGCTTTTCAACTAATATATAATCTTCTAGTCCAGAAATTGGTATAACCAAACCAAGAAGAACGTAAAGACATTCTTGGTTTATATGATATTTTTTATTAACTAAATTTTTAGATAGTATTTGTTTATGTTTAATAGTGCGCATGTTTCAGTAAGTTGCCAACCCTGCTTCAAAATTAGTTTTTTCAAGCTCACTTTGAACTAGTGATTCTTGAAAAAGTTTAGTACCATATAAACGTTCAATAAATTTTATAACAGTTTATGTACTGCTACACCGTGCTTCTATAGTTTTATACATTTGTTCTGTTAAATTGTTTGTTGTCATTGGCTTTGCATTAGGTTGATCATATATTTGTGGTATCCATCCTTTATCAATGAAGCCCTTATACTATTTATCACAAATCCAGTTTACTCTTAAATCATATATTAGATGGTCTTTTATGCTATTATCAAGGAGCAAAGAATTAATGAATTTACTATATTCCTCTTCCATTTCAACTACTTCTTCATCAGATTTACTTCTACTCACGATTTTAAATACAAGTGCTATCAGATATTGTAATGGCTATTCCACTTTCTACATTTTTAGATGCTCTTCTAAAGTTAATATGATATAGAACCAACAAAGGATTGTACTATGAGTAAGACCTTGTAATACAAGTTTAGTAGGCTGATGTTTGTTCATCATAGCCAGTAGATTCTAATTAGAAGTATACTCAAGTTGGCGTCTAAACTCTATTCTCTTTAGTAAGTCAATATATTGGTAGTGATGCAAATAATTAGGATTATTACACAGGATATTTGCTTTTATAGCTTGCACTGCTATTCGTATTGTGTAATGGTTCTCTTTATCACTAAGACCAAATGCTAGTAGTGACCCATAATCAGCCTGATTCTCAATAACTATAGCAAGAACAGGTGCTTTTTTATTATTCAAATTATACTTTTCATCTATCTCAAAACAAAAATGACCACAATCATATCCCTGTTTAAGCTACATTTCATCACTTACTATTAACTAATAATAACGTTCAAAGCTATTTTCTGAAGCAGAGATATCACCATGCTGATAATAAAGCACCTTGTCTTGCTCTTTCAAATCTGTAGTAACTAATTGATCTAAGATAGTCCATGGACCACTTTTATCATATAATCAAATATCATTTCACTCAATCAATCTCTTCAACTATTGCTCTATACATAAGTCTTTACTTGTTTTGTGCAAATGTGTAAGGTGAGTTTCATTTGAGTTATTATGTAGTTTTAATATTTTTATAGCAATTTCTACTCCTGTATTATAATGTACATGACGTGTAGCAATTACTTTATCACATATTTGAAGACTTAGATTAATTCTCATAAATTTTGGGTCTGGAGTTAGAAGAATAGATATTCTATGTATATTATTGATAATTAGTTGTACTGAAAAGAGATCTTTAATGTTAGAAAGCATGATCTTCGTGATAACTTGTACTGCATATTTGTGTATATCAAAATCATTGTTAAGATTATTTTTCAAAATAAAGTTTGAACATTCTTGTTTGTATACTCCAATTCTGCCACAAGCCCTTTCACAACCAATATTACTATCACAAAAAAGAATCTATCTCCATATAGTTAGATCTTGAGCTGTATTTTGCTTGAACTTGGCCACATGTTTACATTCTTTATCAGTAATTTCAATTATGTTATCAATTTTGTTCGTTGATTTTTTTTGTTCTTGAAGAGTTTTCCAGATAAAATAGTCTATAGCACCTTCGACATGTTTTAGAGTAATAAGTTTAGCCTTAATACTTTCATTTACATAAAGCTTTGTCTTTTGAGTTTATAGTTTACTAATAAAGGTAATGAGTTAATATAGTTTTTAAGTGTGTAGCCAAAGGGTAAATTAATACTTTTATCTGTATTAACACGATGTTGAGGTAGTTGATTTATTTAAAATATTATACGTTTATTATAAGTATAGTAATTTTAAGAAGCGAAGTATGTTTAATTTTTTTTATTTGAGTTATATGTAGTTTTGAAATTTTTCATCAGTAAATATTTTGGATTAGAAAAGAAAAGGTCTAGCATGAAAATATCAATTTATTATTTTTATAGTTGAATGATGCGGTATTTACTAATTTTGTCTCTGTTTCACTAATCAGAGTATCTGTGAGTTTATTAATAATATATATAGCTTTATTAACTACTTTTTGATACTCCGATTAGTAACTCTGAGGTAAAGTTAGTAAAAACAATTCTAGCATTAATTATATAAAAAAAATAGTAAGTCATCATTACTGAATTTAATCATTCTAATTTTGTTTCAGCATATTTAACATTGATATTGTCTATTTACTATTTCACTAATCTATTAGTGATATTTTATTTAAATCCTTACAGATCTATTAGAAATTGTAAAGATTCATTTTCAATTTAAAGCAAAGTGCAAAAAATGTAGATATATTATATAAATCTGCATTTAATATTGTAAAGGATCTTGGTTTCTTTGGCTCTTATAGAGTCACAAGTTCATTCGTAATTTTTAATTTTAGTTTTGACCATATTTTTTCCAATACCTTGAACTGATTTTATTATAGCCTAGAAACTATAGTTAGGACAGTATCATTTATCACCTGATTATTTTTTATTAGAGGCTTACCCTCTCCCCTCTCTTAATATAAAAAAAAATCAGATTCTTATATATAATTTTAACTTTTTTTACTCCTCCCCTCTAAAAAATCATCTGATTTTTGTCACATCTCTTAGTAAATATAATTGTGATTTATATAATGAACATATCATCTAAGTGCTACTATCAATAGAAAGAGGAGATACTGCTATGTTTAATCTTCTAAAAAAGAGTAATTTTTAAATACTTTATTAATACAATAATACAGAAATAATTTACATATAACATTAAATGAAGGTTTAACTACAATCAAGAATATGTTGATCAGATTAATAATTTTGGATCGATTATTAAAAATTATTTATTGGTTACAGAGTAAACTAAATATTACAGATCAAATATTTTAAAATAAGTTGCTTTAAAAAAAAAATAATGAAAATGTAATATTTGAATACATGTATATGATGCACAAATATTTTATAATAAAGTCAGATTATAATATATAAATTCTTGTTGTCAAGCAAAAATATGTTGAAGGCACATATGTTACCAACAACCATAAACTATTACGATTTCAATTATAATAATTCATAATATTGGACACGAAGAGATATTAATATATTCAGCACAATATATTTATGGTGTATTTTTTTTTAAAACTCTATGATCCCTATCAGGAACAGTATGACCCTATCAAGAATAGTACACAGATTATTTTTTTTTTACCCATCAGAATCAGTACTGATGATCTATTAGAAATAGTAGTTTTGCAATAAGAATAGATGATGTAATAATTTTTTAATAAAAATAATGTAATTTTTATTTTTTTTTAATAAAAAATGACTTTTTTTTAATAAAAAGTTATACAATTACATGATCGATTTTGATTAGTCAATCACAAGTTGCTTATTTGTATAAATAAGTGATTATATGATATACTTCAAGTCTAAAAGGCATTTTAAAAACATGATTTTTAGCCAATTAAATTAAAAAATCAGATATAATATAAAATCAAAACAATCAAATATATGAAAACAAAACAATTGAATAAATGAAAGATTTAATGCAATAAATATTATCTTTGGGTTAAAATTAAAATCAAGCTATATAATTTTTTCTAAAATATGATTTTTAGCCAATTAGATCAAAAGATCAGATGTAGTATAAAATCAAAACAATCAAATATACAAAAGAAAAACAATTGAATAAGGGCAGTATCATTTATCACCTGATTTTTTTTATCAAAGGCTTACTCCTCTCTCCTCTTCTTAGAGGAGTGCCAGAAATCAGCTGATTTTTTAGAAAAGGTCAAAAAAATTAAAATTATATATAAAAAATATATGAAGACCTGACTAAAATTAAGGGGAGGACAATTTTTGCCAAAATTAAATTAGCTAATTTATGGTGCTACCCTTACTATATATTTTGATTAGGTCTTTATATATAATTTTAAATTTTTTACTCTTCTAAAAAATTACCTGATTTTCATTATATCTCTAAATAAAAAATTTATACAATAAATATCATCAAGGAACAGGCATAAATTATATCAAAATTTTGCAAGAAATTATTTTTGTTAGAATATTTAAAGCAGTTTTATAAACAAAAATTTAAATTATTAGCAATTTTTGTAAAAAACTTAATTTTTATATTATATCTGATTCTTCAATCTAATTAGCTAAAATTACATATCAAAAACAATTTTGTAAATAAACTAGAAGAATTAAAGAGTATACTCTTGTTATATAATATTTAAAGTTTTTTTATC